AAATATCGGCCTGCCTTGTCCGAGAGAAGAAAGACAGACAAAGATACAGAACAAACGAACAAAATCCAGGTGCATTTACAAATTTGACGCCGATGGCTTTCAAAAGCAAAACAGGCCAGAATAAAACAACAACGAGAGAAAGATGCACATTGCCAGATAAAATGATGACGATGATGACGATGATGATGATGTTGGTCGACCACGAATGCGGTTCCAGAATGCACCTTGCAGCCCATAACCAGAACCAGTATCCAGAGTCAGAGACGAGCTAATGATTTCAAATGCTAATCGTACGAGACGGCATGAGAGGTACCTCCCGTTACCTCCACGGGCACGCGTTTTATACCTGCATACGAAAAGGTAGAGGCAGGCCGTAAGAGATACAGTTGCGGGTCGCTCGTTGGCTTCGCTTGAAATGATGCAGGTGGAAACTGATTTTTGAAGAAACAAAAGGCAACAAAGGGAAAGGGTCTTCTTGGTTTCTTGGACTTGTGTGTGAAGGAGGCGTGCGTTGCAGTGTTAGCGAGCGCCAGGGCAAGAGCCTGATCAGATCGGCTTTAACACTATGATAATCGCTATTATATAGATCTATATATTTGCTATCAATGTTGATCAACTTGAGCTTGGATCAGATTTCAGGTTTTCTATTCTATTCACTATATATGTAATATATATCACTCACTAAATTTCTATACCCAAACCCATTTTAGTCAGTTTTTCAACACTATTACTATAATTTGATGAAGCTAAACTTATTCATAATAAACTAAAGCATCAGGCTATCTGTCAATCTTGATCGTATATAGCTGCAACTATACACAAAATTCTTTACTTTGTAAACTATATATAAAGTTGCACAACACTGGTTATAATATTATTATCAGAACTAGGTTTTTAGTTGAAAATATTTCCTATTCTATTGTGTGCTATTGCTTTTTTTGCTAGTTACGCATATACATAGCTATTTAAGCTAGTTGACTAACACTAATTTGATTATTTTACAACACTGAAGCATAATAAACAGCTTAAGTGTCACATTAGATTGCTTCCATACACAAATATTTCTATATCTCAGTAAATAAGACGACATTCAAACACTGGCTTTAAGTAGCGCTTCACAACACTGGTTCGAACTCTTCAATACAAATTTTGAGCATGCAAAAACTTTTCCATAGTTTTGCTCAAACACACTTTCTGTTTGGCTAGTGACTTTGACAGTTATTAATTTGACATACAGCTAGTTTGCCAACACAAATTTGGGAATTTCACAACACTAAAAGCTTTCGCAAACTCACTTCATATTTCAATTGCAGCTTTTGACGCGCATTTTTAATGCCATTTGCGTGAATTTATGCATAAAATATGAATATGTCTGGGCAAAAAGTTTATTGAATACGTGTTTCCATTACCCCAGTAGCAAAATACTGTCCTCTCTCTCTCTCTCTATCTCTCAGTCTCGCTTGCTCCCTTTCTAGCTCGCTCTGTCAGATTTGGGAGTCCTTCGCATGCGTTATAAATCACGCAAAGTTTTTTTGTGAGCAGAGTCTGGAAGGCAGCAGAAGTTTTATGTCATCAAGTTTTGGGCCAAGCAAAGACTTTTCAACTTTAATTTTTGGAAGCGATCATAGTTCAATGAGCAAATTGCACGTTGATTTGTTAGACTTGAATGCATGGCCCGATATTTTGGCGGACTCTAAGTCTTTCATTCCATCGCATTGCGAGCTGCCTTTGTGCCGTGTGATTAATGAGCTAAGACCGCTAAGGAAAACTTTACCTTGAGCGCATAAAACTCAACGCAGCGCGAAAAAAATAAGTCGCCAACTTTTCGCTTCTTTTCAATGCTTCACTTTATTTTATTTTTTTCATTTGGTTTTTTTTTCTGCGCTCCTGTCGAAAGTTATTAAAATCAACGAACCGTTGTCGGAACCTTTCAGAAAGACCCCAGCTATAATTAAGCGGCTGGCGAATAATTCTAAAGAAGTTCAATAAGAAATCAAATTTAATAGGCGTCTGCATTTGAAAACGAAAGCCTTGCGTGACAAATGTCATTTGAGTTTGGATGCCCCCGAATGCCAGACGGAGCACTCCAAATGTTCTTCGATTCAACGTATAATTTTCCAGCACGCAGCTCTTTGGGGGCCGTCCTAATCGCCGGTGAGAAGTACACCCAACTAACCACACCGAACTGACAATTGTTTGTAATTATGGGCTTTACGAAGAGAAATCAAATAGCATTTCATGGCATTTAAATATAATTTGACTTCTTTTCGCCTCACCCAACTACAGTGATTAACTAACTGAAGCGCATATTGCTGGCATTTCTTCAGATATTTATACAATTTTTTTTGTATTTGTAGTTTAACGTGGAGTAAGTTTAACAAAATTGTTAACAATGCAGAACAAAATTTGAATTTTTAAATGATTTCTTGATTGGCTTAGGATGTTTTGCTTTGCATGACCAGTTTAGAATCAGGCGATATTTTCTAGGATTTTATATAATTGTGTGAGTAAGACTTTTACCTTTAGAAAGCTTTAAAAGTAATTTAAATATCTTGACTCAAGATATTTAAAACTAAAAAATAGTTTAAAAATTCCATCTATGCGTCTGCAACTAGGCAATAATTTCCAAAAAGATATGTAATTTCTTCAAAGCAGAGCTATTAATATGTAAATGTAAAATCTCTTTTAGCGCACAGCGTGTATAGCTAATAAAATACGAAATTTTCAATTATATTATAACCAATATGCAGCAGTTGCTAAGCTCAACGTTGCAGTCGGAATTTCAGCAGCTGCTGGTAAAATGGGCAGCACTTCCTGCTAATGGCAACAAACTACATAATAATAATTGTCAATTGCCGACACGTACGATGATTACACATGTTATAAAGGCAGCTGGTAGTACAGGCAACAAGATGCCAGCTACGGCCAGAGGCAGCGAGAGGAGCTGGTGCTGTTCTAGAAGGCGAGACCGGGGCAGAGCAGCAACTAATGTAATATGTGTAATATGTGAGACAGGCCCTAAGTAGCCTTAAGGCTGGATAACAGGCATTATATGTGACACAGGCACACACACAGACACACACACGCAGACAGTTGCACCTACCAAGTGTTAGCGCTGCGTGTTGTCGTAATCCTCAATTAAATTTTATTCTAAAGCAATTTCGCAAAGTAGTTTTTCTTGGTCCTTGCCAAAGATAAGCAAACAGTGGCCGAAAGGGAACATTTTCTAATGGCAATTTGGGCATACGTAAACGTATTCGTTGTCAATTTTTGGTTATTGTTAAAATTGTCAGGGGCATGCTGTAAATAGCCCCGTAAACATGAGGATTAGCTGGGCGTTTGGCTTTGTGCGCAGACCGCTGCTGCCAGGACTCTCGGCCTGGCTAAAAGTGTCACTCACTCGAAGACAAATATTGCACAATGAGCAGCAAAACAAGGAAACGGAAATGCGGCAAGATTGGCCAGCCCAATAAAGGGAACTCGGACTGGTATATAAATGTATGTGTGTGTGTGTAATCCTTGCCTTGTTTCGTCTTGGCCTTTGTGCCAATATTTATGTGTCATTCACAATTGTATGCATGACATTGATGGCTGACAGCAGCAGTAGCAGCAGCAGCAGTCGAGGCAGCTACAAATCCAATTGCGCAGCTGTTTCGGCATTTCTTTGGCTCTAAGTAAATATGAAACAAATGTACACTGTGACTTTGCTTGTTTTCCTAGTTGTTCTATGGGGAATTTCCCATAGCCAACGGCCCCTGTCGATCGTCTGTTGAGAAATTGTCATGAAATTGGCTCACAATGGACCAATGCATTGTCATGAGATTGCAATTGCTACGCTCGGCCATAGAGAATGCATTTGTGGCACTATCTCGGCTAGATGTTACCACCTTTCCAGCTACAGGTAGCTGCAGTTAGCTAATAGCTGTATCTAATGTCTTGCGGAAGACTTTTGTGTACAGCCAACAGGAAGTGGAGAGGACATCTGCAAGGAAGTGGCCTTGCAACAAGTGGAAAGGTAAGTAAAATTTTACTAAGCTTAACTAATGTTGTGAGACGGGACGGGAACTCTTTATCAATAAACTCAAAGATTTGGTTATGATCAATATTATGATATAGCAGTCCAGCAGTATGAAGTCGATCAAGCATGTTCAATTAATTTAGAGAATACTTTACATAGACAGATCTATTCATATATTTCCATTCCGTCAGTCTTCTGATTAATAATATTTTTACTTTATGTCATCCAAATATTCTGCTCTATAAATTCACAGCTCTTTATCGTCGCTCATTGGCAGTTGCTTCACTTTCGTCTCTAAAGCAAACACAGAGCAGCTCTAGCTGTATTTTTTGACTTCCTCTGAAATATACTATATGTTGGCATTTTTTTGCTTTATCACTCGAACCGTTCGAAACGCTGTGAGTGAAATTTGTGTTGACTCGGCGACAAATCGTTGCCAACTCGAGCGTCAACCCACAGCAAACATGGTCAGAACTAAAAACCAAAAAAAAAAGAAAGGGAAATAGCAGAGAAATCAGAGCGTCTCATAGTTGGAGCCATTTCATTGACGTTAATAAATGACCGGAAGGACATTGTATGGCATTGCTATGGCGTGGCAATAAACAAACGAAACAACAGCAGCGGCGGCAGCAGCAGCAGCAGCAAACACAAAAACTACATGTCCTGCCTCGCAGAGGATGGACCAAGTCCTCGGACCCAGGTCCTGTTGCATTTTTGGTCAGCCGGAAGTTTACTGCAGCGTCGCACCCTTTTTGCTTTGGCTCGCTTGCTTTTCTCTTTTTGTTTGTCCATCTTTTTTTGTGTTTGTGCCCTGTAAGCATTGAAAAGGTGAGGTAGAGTGTATGAGGGTTTTATGAAAAGGCATGTAACAGGCTAAATATGACAAATTCATTTTATGAAACTATTTAGATATTTATATATAAAATCTGTTAAGCTAGAGGTCAGCTAGAAGCAAAGCTATAGATATTTCCAACTAATTTCGAAATTGTGTGGTTATTGCTACAGGATATCACATAGTCGTTCTGGCTTGTCCAGTAACGTCATCCTTTTTGTTCCATTGATATTTGCTTGTTGGCAAATTTTTCACAGAGTAACGCGCAGCTGGTGCCGTTGCTGCTGCAAGGATGCGAGTGTGGGAACTAAATCTTCAACTGGCAAAAATCAATCGTAGTTGGCGCAAAGGTCGGAAGTGTTTGCAATTACTTTAAGTTGTGCTTTGATTAATTGCTGCATACATAGGTTTGGCCATTGAAATATACATATGTGTGCTGCACATACCACAAGGCAGAGCAGCTACTCCAGAGCATTGGCTTTGCGTAATGCAAAAGCCACAACAAGAAGCAAGAGCCACTTGCCGATTGCCAAAGCAAGTCTTGAATGAATTTACAAAAGGCCTCAAGAGGAGCAGCAGCAGCAGCAGCAGCAGCAGCAGCCAGGCCACAGAGCTGGAAAGTGCGACAAGTGCTGCAGTCTTTGGCAGTGGATGCACTTGAGAGACAAGTCACAGCTTGGCAGTCAACATGCGAGTACGCATGTCAATTTTGCATTAAATAACTAAATCAAGCTCAAACAAAGACGCCCACAGACCTTCACACACACTGGCAGAGATTAAGTGGAAAGATGGCCCAGTGGCCGGCGAATGGATCCAAAATGTTTGTACGGCCCAATGCAGCTGGTGGGCAAACAAATACGCGTAGTGGCAACCAAAGTGGATGCCAAATAACCATAATGGTGTTTATCCACAAGTTCATTTCGCTGTTTAAACATGCCTCCGAATTTACCGACACAATAAACAACGGCCAACGCATTGGCCCAAACGGAGGCGCCCAGTGCCATTACGTTTCGTTTTTATGCTCGCTTATGAAATGCCAATGGAGTATACTTGTTTTGGAGCAATGTGCGCGTAGAGACGTGCAACATGGTATATAGATTTTGGATAAGATAAGGTGTAGGATTTTTAAAGCTGACAAAATAGCTATTCCTATTTGTAGAAAGGGCATCATATATTAAAATCTATTGAAGCTAGAGAATTTAAATTTATATTATATATATAACCTCATATATATATATATAAATAGCCTTATTTAACAGAGAATTTTGTACAGATTCTTTCTTAGAGAACATTTTACAAGAGTAATATCTGCTCTAGCTATACGCATATATTTATTAATACAGTTGCCTTCACACACAGAACGAGTATTATGCGGTCAATGAGACTCGTTAGAAATATTCTTACTGGTTTTCACTTTGGGGCTGCCGCGGGCCATAGACGACTGACACCGACAACAAAGTTGTGCCTGGGCTTGGGTACTGTCCTGGGGGTACCGTCATCAGCTACGGTAGCCACTCGCCGTCGTCAACAAAATCGAAGTGCATTGCGCTGTTATTTTAACGATTATGCTGATGAGCATTCAGCATCGAGCATTTGAGCATCGTGGCAACGACTAGCACGACGACGACGCGGGCGATGATCCATCAGAACTCCAGACATGGAAATGCAATTTGTGTAATTTATGCAGCTCGACTCGATTCGAGTTCTCAGTGATATGTTCGATTAGCCGCGCGATCCGTCAGATACAAAATGCCGATTATCTCTGTGGAGGAGCCACTGCAGACACTCTCGGCACTTGCCTCGCGCACTCAGCTCGCATTTTGATTTATGATTTCAACGGCTGAGCGCACAAATTAAAAGCATTCCAGGTTTAGCAGGAGTTTTACTTCATTTTGGGCATTTTTTTCTTGTTCTTTTTGTTTTTATTTTTTCTTGACCTGCAGCAAATGTTGTCATCATTCGTCTAGACGGCTGGCAATCATCAATTAATAAAAAAGTCAGAGCTAAGCAGAGGCAGCCTCTGACATGAATTTGGGCACGTCAATCAGACTTATCATACTATTTGACCTGTGCGCAGACAATTTAAATGTCAATTAAAGGCAGGAAAAGTGCATCATTAAATATAAATTATGAGGGTGATTAGAAGAAGCTTTAAGACGGTAGCCAAGCAGGTGATTCGTCGAGTCTTTCGAAGACCCTCTTTAAGTTTGGGATGATGCACTGATGGAATGGTTCTGTAAAGAATCATCGATTGAGATTTAAATGCGCTAACTGCTACTTATATTACCAAAGTTGTATGCCACATGAAGCTGGTCAAATTTAAATGATGAGATATAAGAAAGGAGAGCCAGTTCATGACATGAACAAAGTATTAAAATACTAAATATACTAAAGATAGTATATACTACATTTGCTATATTAGATTATCATATTCTTATACAAAAATGCAATGCCAAACTCAAGGGGAGAGTCCAGTCTTCAGCTGGAACTAGAGTTGAGTGAGGGATAAACAAAGAAATTTATAAAGTGTTTAAAGCATAGTATATATATTACTCATAATATAATATACTAAGCTATATACTAAATATAGTATATACTACTTTTGCTATACTAGATAATCATATTCTTATACCAAAATTCTATGCCACACACACAGGTATTCCACTTACCACCTGGCCTTAGAGTTGACTCAGAGAGATGCAACTATAGACTGTAAGCTGATGACTTTAGAGAATTTCACAAACATATTGTGCCATCAAAGTGCGTACATGAGTAATTTATTAGCCAACGACCAGCATCCACTGATAGCCAAACGCGATTGACAACTGCAGCTGAGAATGTTTGTGGATAAGGAGATGGCTGTGAGCTGTGAGCATGCGGGCTGCAGGGTAAGCGTAAACAAAGGGCAAAATGTTTAAACTGAACACAAAGGCGACCATAATACAATCATAATTGCATTTTTACAACAGCCAAGGGTATCCAAGGCACGATAGTCCTTTATTGGCAGTTCACACCAAGGACGCACATAAATCCCCAGTCAAAGCAGAATAAAATAAACAAAGCAAAGCAAAGAAAAGAAAAAAAAAAACAAAATTAAATTTTTATCTAATATAAACGCGCAGCAGGCCACAGTCCTTGTGTGTTATATTTCTTTTTTGCAAGGCGATATGAGCTAAAGGACCTTCCTGGAAGCGCGCACACACATTGTCACTTTTCACACCAATTGCCATGGCCTTGGTGCTTGGTCCAGTCGAGCATTAATTTGACTTATCCCAGCTGAGCAAGTAGCTGCGCAAGGACACGCACTCAGCTGTAAAAGTGCAATTAATGCCAAACAATGGCGACTCTCAGGACACACACGACCACACGCGACCAACACTGACTGGCCCAAGGATAAACAGTGCCTGGGCATAATTAGCCCAAAAATGGGTTAGGAGAAGCCCGAGCCAATGCGTTCGTCCTTGCACAAATTGCCTCTATGCGAGTCAAGGTCTAATTGCAGCCTTGCTGCAGCAACATTATCGAAGAACAACATCCTGCGTCGTTATCCTGCGCCGCTTGACTTGCTCGCTGCTCTTAACACGCGCCGCGCATGCGTCGACCTTGCCAAAGGCGAACGCTGGGCGTGTGCTGATAGCCAACTGCAGTCTTATTAATGACATTCTCCAAGGTCAAGCTGCAGATCCTTGAAAGTTATGGCAGCTGATATCTTAATGTATTCCGAAACTTAATAGAGCTGTTAGGCATGCCAAAGCAGCCCATGGAGTTCTCCAGAACAACTGCACATAAATTTATCTAAAGCAAACGATTCATTGAGCAACTGTTCAAGGCTCAAGTAAATCTTTAGAGCGTGCGAAATTTGAATGAGTAACTGCGTCTTCTTATTTTATGGTAACGTTTATGGCGTGTGTGGGAGTGTGCAGAGATGAGGCTTACTCTGAAAAGTCTTATATTGAATTGTCGAACTGTGAGAAGTCATTGAGAAATTGTTGTGAAAAGTTTTGCTATGCTAAGTGTTGTTCACACACTCGAGAGTTGAGAGAGACTTGTGCTTGTTCGTATTGTAAAGGAAGCATATTGGTTGCTTATAGTAAATTCTTGACTGGTTATGTCTCTGGCAGGACTCTTCTGCTATGTGAATGTAAGAAATTATACGAACTTCACTAAATAAATATAAATAAATGAGCGTTGGAGTTTTTTGGTGTTTTATAACTTAGAGTTGGCCAGATTATTTTTGAGTAGAATTATAGTGGGATTCCAGGTTTCATACTTACACATTAATGTCGTAAGATTTTGATCATAATTAATTTAATTTTAATGACATTAAAAATCTATTTCTATACTTTCATCTGACTTCAACTTATGTAACTCTAAAAAAATACTCGATATATATATTGCAATAATTTAACGTTAATCAGCACTTGTACTGTAAAACTGTAATAATCCCTTTGTCTTATATCTTCTCACAAACTCTTTCAGCTTTTCTTGCATAAGAAATTGCTTAGGCAAACATTTCTCAGTCGCAACTCGCTTAGCCTCTTCACCAGGCTCGCCAGACATTGTTGAGCACATATCATATATTTCAGCTATTATATTCATTTCTAATAGACTACACAGCTCAAGCCTAACTATTTTTGGCAACTCTCTTCGTGAAGCGTGTCTCGTTTAGCTTTGTAAAATCTGATAGATCTCATTTGCCTATTCTTATCGAGTTCATTTGAAATTAAAATCTCAAATTTCTCACACAGCTTAGCTACCGCATAGGCGTAGAAAAGGCTGTTAGTGGCATCTCCCTAGCTACCCATAAATCAAAATATTTCAACATGCTGACAGAGCCATAAAGACCCACCCGAAAAGGTAAACCCCACCCTACTTTTGTATATATGCATATATATCCGACCGAACGCCCGATAATTATGTAGGACGTCTCTAATGATAATTACTTGATTTGCACAACGTGTGTTGATGTTTTCATAATGGATGCGAGCACTGCGCTCTGGCATAAATTACAAATGCAAGGGGCCAGCAAGGGACTCGCCATGTGGCACGCAAATGTTCTGAGGCAAAGTCGAGTGGCAGATAAAGTGGCAGATCGATAAGCGTATGCGCCTAAAAGGGATAATGATGCTGTGGCTCTGTCTGCCTGATCGCTGACTGTAACCTCTGGGGTAGTTTTCTCACTCTCCCCTCTCTAGGGTGTGCCACAAGGCTGGCAGCTGCCACTGCGCAGTTGCCGCTGAGCGAATGGCGCATGCCTCGAAAACGCGCTTTCATCATAACTTTTCACTTTTCATTACGCACTTCCACAATTGCGCAGCGAAAGTACTCCAAATGTCGGTTGAGCTCACATTTTATGTGTCCGCATGGAGGCCCTTATCGATATCGGTCAATTCTACTTTCATTCCGTTTTCCAAAGTGCACCCACAGCAAATTTATGGGCTCTCCGGCTGACAACAATTTGCAGCGAAAGCCATGCCCATTAGCCACGTCCATTTTTGAAACATTTGCAATTATTTTTATTTCAATCTACGAAAAATATCCGAGCACTTGAGAATGGTTTTCCAATACCTACATGGGGGTTACTTGTTCGTGTCCAGCTGTTTTGGCGGGAGGGTCAGTTGTGCAACGTTTTGGGTCGGTTTGTTTAACATTTCCTGAATCGATATTATTTTTTCTTCTTCCTAATTTGACATTATGTAGTTTATCGTTTTCTATTTGCCTTGGAGTTTGTTTCCTTTACATAAGGTAATGAATAGTTGCTTGGTTTAGGCAGAAGCTGAGCTTGTCTGACTGAAATGTTGAGCTGATATTTGTATTGGATATAATTATTATATAACTTGGCTAAGTAACTCAGTCGCAGATTGATATTCAGGCTAAGGCAAACAGCCATCAATACAATCACAATCTCTTCATCTTTGACATAAGCCTTAGCACTTCTTTAGGCCATATCCATTAGATATCACAGCTTAAATTACAAATTACAGATTATTTTTAATAGATCTCTCTATACTTAGCACTCATAATTGCTGAGCTACCACAAAATCA